CGAAAGTGACATATATGTCCCCCAGAAGAATTGCATTTGCTTCCATTATGCAATATTGTGACTGTATGAGTTTGCTAAGAAACTTTCTTTGCCTAATTTGCCAAGCATAATAATCCTTTCCCTCAAAAAATGGATGCTTTAAAGAATTTCATGTGAACTTTGAAAGGACATTTGATATACATTTTACGTTCGTCAATCAAGGATTCATTTTTGTAAGAAAGTTTATATTATACATGAATTCAGTATTATATTCTGCCTTAAAAGGAACACAAAGTGTTTCATTTTCGGCATTTGAAAATTAACAGTTAAGAGACAAAAAGCATGGAAAAAATTTGTTCGTGTCGACTTCAGAGTAAAAATTAGCTCATACAATAACTGTAAAACTACTGAGTATTCAGGCAACTACAAATTGTTAGTAAGCAAAATCTCATGTCAGCTGTTTAGATTCATTCACTTGTGATTATGATATCATGGTAATTTTAATTTATGAACGGCTTGGATTTTAGTATTTTTTTCCTGATTCAGATCTTTCGTACATCTCACCGAAGACGAGGATCGTTACCTATAATTTAATAAATTCTTATTTAATGGATTATTACAAATGGCTAACGTACAAGAAATGTTTACAGAAGTACGTTGCCGTTAAAGATAACTCTAACGAAAATTCCAATCTAAAATACAAATTGTTCCTGAAAAAATTCATTCTGAATTGGACACTTTGCGTGTTATTAACGTAGGTTCTTAATAGTCATTTGCACAAGAAAGCAATGTTTTTAGTGTAAGAATTTGGTCCTGGAATAAACTAATTAACCTGAAAAATCCTACAAATGGATGCCTCCCGTTCCAAACAAGAGATTCTTTAAATGTTTTGACTATTTTCAAATTACTGCTATTATATTTTTGTATATTTTCCTTTTGTTCGGGGTCAGAATATGAATTTCGCGCATGAATATGCAGATGATATATCTAAATTAGCAACAATGCTTGAAATTTAATCTGATGTGTCAGATACTATGCAGTTAAATAATTTGTATCCCTTTCTTCACGTATGGCTTTAGGAATAAAGATTTTAGGGCAAATTCGGAAAACATGCTGACATAATAGTTACATTTTCAGATTAGGATTATCCTGAAATGTGAAGATGTGATATAGGTGTTCAGAACAGAGAACATTAAAACTAATTGAATTATATTATATTTGTATAACAAATAAATGTCTGTAGGGTTTGAAATGTATGGCTTATTTGAAGTACATAGCTTCGACTTACCACCGAAATTCATAGTACTTGCTATTAAAATGAAAAACATTTTTCAGTTGTGGAAATTTATTATTTACATATTTATTTTTCAAATATATTTTACATTTATGTAACCACATGTTTACCCTTAAATGCATGAATTTTTGTTTTTATTTTTAAAGTAAAAAATGCATTAGATTGATATCAAATAAAATAGGAAAAATACTAAAAAAACTGAACTAAGTTTTTAATCCAATTTTTGATTAAAAACTTAGTTCAGTTTTTTCATCCAATTTTTGAAAAAAAAGTATTATTATAACTTTTACAAGAAAAATATGATAAGCAAATGTGTAATAATAATTTTATGTAATAATACATATCTTACAAACTTGTTCAAACAATTTTAAAACTTTGAATACATCAAAATAACAACAAACACAAAATCAAAATTTGTAAACACAAATGTTGTCTACACAAATGATGTCCCTACACATCAACTCACAATAATGATCGTTACACCGTTAGTGGTTCCACCACACTAAAACTTTCAAAACTATACACGGAAACAGTATGTGTTCAATTAGTATCCTATTTAGTAAACTCAAATTTGTGTTTTGATTTGATTTACTTGACTAAATATAAGTATGTTGCCAAATAGCAATTATATGTATTTAAAAGGGTTAAATGAATAGTTATACTTACAAGTGATGTTCTGTTTGAGATTTGCTTACTTTTGCCTGCCTTACATGCTGTTGAGTACAAGATGTTAACTAATATTTTTTAAGCTACAAATATGCTACTGGAACCACAAAGCCACAATTCGACATATAATTAGTCGTCCTTTGGAAATGCTACTTAGTTAATTTGCTTCACTGCACTGCAGCCATTTTTGTTTCTACGACACAAAAGCACGTTTGTAAAACTCTTGAAGTTAACATTACAGCATTTTTAACGTAAGCAATGATGTCGATTTTATGTCGGAATTTTTTTCCCACGAAATAAGCATTCAGACGTCGATGAATGGTTGGTGTGGGTTGTAGTATCACTATCCATTCTAGTTGTCCAGTCTACTGAATTATATGTGCAGCATACTGTCTTGCGTTATCGTAATGTAATTAGATGTCCCTTGAATGTAACTTTGGGCACTTTTTTCTGTTTTAATTTGTTGGTTGACAAGTCTGTTTTACTTTGTTGGTTGACATAGCAAGTCGCGACTTCTTTTTATTTGGAAATCTTGGATGCCTTTTTCTCTCAGGATCCTTGCCATCAACAGCCTTTTTCTCTCAGGATCCACGCCATCAACAGCCTTTTGCTTTCAGGATCGAACTGAAACAGTCATGTTTCATGATGTCATGATTCCCCGAAAGCATTCTGGAACAGTTTCCAGAGAAACATTGAGACAATTGACGGTCTATTTGGCTGGTCCTGGGTGTTGCGATCACCAAACCAAAACCTCTGAAGCTACTGACACACAATGCTTCGAGTCATTGTTTTGTACCCATAGAGTGGCAACGGCTTAGTGTAGAAAGTGATATATTCCGAATTCGCAGAGTAATTTGATGGCTGCACGTGGGGTAGGAGGGTGTGATGTTGATTACTCATAGTGATTTGCCTGCAAGGACAAGAATTAAAAACTAGGTAATGGTTAGGTGGTAAAGAACAAGTATTTCTATCTGTAAAATTTTATTTATCTAATGCTTACTATTACCAAGCTATAGTGGGTTGTGGGTTACTTTTTGATCGATCTTTGTGGAATGAAAAATCTTAGTAATTGATTACCGTTTTTAATGTGAACGATCGAAAATATCAATAATCATTTTTAGCCACGGTATTAAATGCTATTAATTGATATAAATGCTTAGTCTTTACAAATAGAAGCTGCAGGATGTGATTTTAAACTGGTAATACACAGCTAAATGCTAAACGGGGAATTTTACAACCAGTACCAGGTTGTGTAACCTTAGCAAAGCAATGTTTATTCAACGCCTCCGAAACATAACGTGAGTTGTGATTAGAACTGTTACCTTTTTTTCTTTTTCTGCGATAATGCGTCACCACCAATAGCTGAGTGGTTAAGACCACTGGTTACTGGTAGTTCGACCTAGTTTGTATTCGATCTTAGACCAAAGGGCTGGCTGCATGGTTGGTTTTCGAGGTTTTCCATATATGTAATGTGAAAGAAACCAGGTTGCCTCAGAAAGTCCTCCACGAAGGCATCCCTCATCTTATGAATATAGCCCTAGTGGATTTGTCATATTCAGATAACTTAGCCAAACCATCCAGCAATAACAAGGCAGCTATTCGCGGGTTTAATTAGCTTTTTGACTAAAAGTCCCATTATCGGAACTATCGGTATAACCTTTGGGTTGTGCCATCACGGCCGGACTGTCCTTCGGACGCAAACCAAATATGTATTTAAAGCTAGAAACTTGTCAAGTAGTTAATGGTAAGAGGAATAGCAGGGAAGAAGGACATGCAGACAATTCAGTTCTGTGCATCACATAATTTGCATGCACGGATAGAAACAAAATTCTTAATTCATTATGCCCACATACACACTATCATACATTTTTACAAAAGTATTAAAACTGTTATAAAGACAAGTTGTAACGGAATACACAGAGCTGAAATGAGAACAGACAATATTTGCATAAATATTTCCATGTGAATACACTTAAAAGTAAGACATGAAATTATATATAAATTAATATATTTGCATAACAGAATAATTATTACAACATTAGCACGAGGGCCGCCCAGTCGGTATAATGGTTAGGGAAGCTAAATGCGATACCAAAGGCCCCGGGATCGAATCCCGGAGAAGGCATGGTTGCAAATATCCGTCCCTTCATGGGAGGCTGAGGGCCTGCCATTGGGGAGGAAAAACAAAGAACATTAGCATGAGAAGTATATTTAGGGAGATAAAAAAATACAGCAAAATGATACATTATTACACATTACAGTGTAACTGCAAAACATCTCAAAATGTACAAGTAAGTACTACAGCGATATAAAATACAAGGATATAACATGGATACAGGGATGTAAACTCTCCATACGAAAGTAACAAAAATACAGAAGAAAAAAAAAAATGTTGAAAGCTGACGCCTCTTTTTTCAGGAAAGAATTCAGGGAAGGGATCGAAGGTTATCAGCAATAAGAATTGCTGATAGTCATGGTTATTATTGCTGACAGCCTTGATTGAGCGCATATTTATTTTTGCTGGTATTCCAGGACTTAAAAGAGATTATCCCTGTGGTATTCCTGTTGCTTGTTGGTGCGTCATGGAGGGCTTTTTTAAATGAGAGTTTTTGGTTAACGGACTGGCACTGCAAAGAAGAAATGTATGGGCGCTGCCCTTTTAGCTGTTGGATATAGAGCTTAATTAGTCACTGTGAAGAGTGACTAATTAAGTTCCGATTAATATTACGAAACATGCTGCGCAGTCATCTGCCAGTAATTACCATGTCCAAATAGTTCTGCCGTTGTTTAGAGAACCCATTGCTGAGTGTGTCTTTAAGAAATGAGGCAGGAAGATATACATTCAATTGACTTATGTAACTGATACTGAAATTTATAGTAAAAAAGTCATGAAACACAAATTATAAGAATGACTGTTACATTCTGAAGCTGACAATATCTTTCCAGTCTGCGGAAGAGAGGTCTAGTCGCAGTCGAAGTTGTTAAAATTATACAATGAAAAGATATAATGTTACTTAAAATTAGTAAAGTCATATATTGTATTACTTTCTACTAGGAGCTTCTATAACTGAAGCTGATCATTAACCTGCAAAGGAAAAAAGAAGAAAAGACTATTAATTAGTAAAGTCATTCACACTGAATAGGAACTTTTTCACTGCATATTGTTCAAAATATTCTGCACTAATTTGTTTAATTTTATGAATACTTCCTGCTAAAACTATTTTTATGATTTCTTTTATTGTTATTATTACTCCCGAAATTTCGAGTCTGGTGAACCTAAAAAAATAGTTTTTTTCATTTATGAGTTTTTTGCAGAGGAGATTTGCATTTTATTTCCTGTAGAAAGAAATAAAGCATAAATTTCTTTAATGTATTTTTGCATAGGTTTTCCACTGTGTTAATAATTCTGTTAAGCATGTCATACTGGCACATACTGGCACTTGTCATACTGAAGCTTGCTACACATACTGGCAAATAAAAAATAAAGAAGAGTTAATTTTATTAAAGCATGATGCGAACTATTGAATAATTTATAGCAATCCCTGATAACTTGTGTCTTGAAGACTTCTAATGAATTCTTAGTAAGTAATTAGTATTCTAAACATTGGCTAAGTGTTTTAGTAGCATAAGATCTTTATGTAGCTATTATCTTTCATTTAAAAAAAACCTCTTCGTATATTTTCCGTTATACAACAGCATGCTCTAAGGAGTTTCTTTGTAAAGCTATAAGAGTAAACTTGATACTTCTAGCAAGAACACTATCTCATACCGCTCATACTGAATGCGGTAAAAGATTTCTAAACATTAGAAATATGCTTAGATTAGTTATTTCAGTAAATAAAGAACGGAATAGAATAATATATCTTGAAACACTTAACTCTGAAAACAAGAATATTGTTTAAGAGAACAAAAATAATACATTGTCCTTTTACGCTTTCTAATATGCCCCGTTGACGAATACATCTGCAAAACACTGTTCGGCCTATGGCTGTACTATGACGAAAAACAGTCAAATCCTGTTTAAAGAAGTAATAACAATACATGTCATTTGAATGCAACCGGTAGTCAGCGTTGACGCATGTATCTTTCTATTTAAAAGTATTTTTGGACAATGTTGTTCTATATTGTGTGCGCATGTTTTTGCATACGTTTCCGTAACTGATTCATACATTTCCATGTATTTAATGATGTTAATCAAGGAATGCTTTCTTAGATTCATAATTTAATCGTTTATGAAATAAAAGTTTTACGAATATTTACTAATAAGTATTGTAATGTTATAATATTTAGACTTAAAGAAGCGTTAATTTAAATACAGATGTTTTAATAGTTTGAATGAACTCTTCTGTTAAATATAACATCTTGACAGCAAATAAATTTCTTAAATCATTGCAGGTACTCAATACATAGAGCAAAGCTTTCAACTGCGACAGCTTTACACAGTTATTCTCTTTCGCCCTGTAGACAGAGCAAAATGCAGCGTCCTTTCTGCGCAGAAGTGTTGTTCAATTTCAGCGGAAGAGCTGTCCAATTTCAACGGGGATTTATAGCGCTAGAGTATCAACAACGGCCAGCCGACCACAAAAGCTTCCAAAATACTTCCCTCCCCCTTTCTCTCTTTCCATTTGATATCAGAGGACGGAAAGGGGGCAGAAAAAATTCCGGTTTCCTTCCAGAGTAATTTAAGACCTTCTCGTAAAATCCTAAATCCTGATATATGGCATCGGAGGTACAATTTCGATTCCCTGACTTTATTCTTTCGCTAGCCAGCGCGGGAAATTTTCGTTAAAATTGATATCTTGGGCTTCGAAATGCAACTATTTCCGCTACCTTTTGATCGTATCACGAGTATCAAGATTCGATGCAGATAGTGTAATCGATTTTTGTTATCGGTCCTTCATTTTAAGCAGAGAAAATTTTAAAAGCGGAAGTGGATTTCTTATACTTCTTTTATTTTATTATTTAAATGGTTCTGGTTCCCCTAACCTTTTTAAATTCGTGGGCAATGTCCAGATGGTAAAACGAAAGGAAAAACTGAAAAATCTTGAGTATTCTTTGTATAAAACAACTTCAGTGCAAAGTTTTCTGTTAATTGTTTTCCATTCTTTAAGTTGAAATATGCCTTAAATTCATAAATGCAGTTGAAATAATTTATATGTGATCCCATATAAGGAATCAGATTTTGTTATATTAATTTAAATTTCAGAGAAGATTCAAAGGTAACAATCGTAAAACATTTCACCTTCCTGTTATTTTCCTTCATTAAGATAGTCAATAATTTTAACTCAATACACTTTAATCATTTGAATATATTGTGTGTCTCAGTATTCATTAATAATATAATTATATTCTCTTGCGATTTGGCCCTTCCTTTATTTATTTATTTAAGATTAACTCTTCTAATAAATTAATCCTTTGTTAATTATCTAATTGCGAAATTACTAAACTAAATTACTAAATTAATGAGAATTGTCAATAAAGTTATTTAATTTACGTTTTCCTTTTAACACTTCCATTCTGACTGGTCAACATCCGTAAAGGTTTGTCGAAGTTCAATCCAAATTCAATTCCCAAAATAAATAAATAAATAAATAAATAAAAATAAATAAATAAATAAATAAATAAATAAATAAATAAATAAAATAAAGTAAAATAAAATAAAAGTATGAATGCTTTTAGGCCCACCAGCGGCCGAGCGGTAAAGTCGCTGAACACTGGTAGTTCGGTCCGAGGTTCGAATCCCGCGAACGGGCTGGCTGCATGGGCGTTTTCGTGGTTTTCCCCGTGTGTAACGTGTATACGAGCCAGTTTCCCTTAGAAAGACCTCCACGAAGGCATCCCTTCCCTTAGGCAGATAGCCCTCGAGGCTTTGCCATAATCACACACACACACACACTGAATGCTTTTAGATTTTATATAAAACCCAAACGGATGTTTTTTCCATTTATAGACACATACACGTTTCAAAAGCCTTTGGGCTAAAAATATTTAAAAGCAGCATATCTTTAGAATTATGGACAGACAGTCTCCCATGCTAAAGATAAAAATGTTATATTTCCTACAGCGTTGTCACTGCACTCTTTGAAATTGTTGAGTTTTAAATCAAAAATTCGTTAAACCTTTACAAAATATGAAATAGACAATAAAACAAATTCCGATTTCGGGCTTCCAGTTGACCATGTTTGGGTGCAGGACTATGCTACTCAAAAATCTGATGAATCTAGGTACCATATTTTGGTCACAATACATGCACATACATTCATGCAGATTATTCATTATTTAGTTTCCTTAAATATAATGCAGGGCGATAATATTTGGTAGCAAAAATTTGGAAAGTTATTCAGACTTTTATAGTGATTCAACGCAAAATGCCATTTCGACTAATTGCCCTTCTAGGCTAAGGCAATTTGGGACTGATAAGGTTTCCGAGAATGAAGAAAGACAGTGAATATAAAGACAGTTTTCAGCTATGTTTTTAATGGAGAAGTTAAACAGGATAAATATTAATCAAATGCTGTTTTCTAAATGTATTTATGACAAAATGAAAATTATTTAAAGGAAATCAGGGTAATCTAAAATTAATTTTATATTTTATGAATTGAAATAAATTAGATTCAAATAAAAACTTTCCATGTAAGCTTCATTTAAGAAAACATTTATATTAAACTAACGTAAAACCAAAAACTTCTTCTTACTAAAACTTCTGAAAAGAATTCAGTTTAAAGCCTTAGACTTCATTAAGATCGCATATTCGGGCTCCATTGTAGTGATTTTAATATTAATTTCATCTGAATTAAAAATTGACATTTAAATTTCTGGAATACAGAGAAATCTTTGTGGGTATTAAGAATTACGGCTTATTAATTGTTATGGCCTTAGCATTCTCAACGCCCTAATGCACATTCTGCCTAAAATTCTAAATTTAGCATCTGCATACAACTAGGATAATAATTTAATCACAGCTTTTGGTGCTACTATTTCTGGATGTAATTCTTCACTTTATAGCGTCATTATAAAACTAAGCACAAATCTTTAACCTTTACACTGTAATCAACTATTGTAAATGCTTCATATTTATGTTGTAAACACTTTGTTACAAGATATATTTTATCTTCTTTGCATGTGAAGTATATATATATTCCGCTTCTTATTCCTATAAACATTTATCAGTGAATAAAATGACCCTACCATGTTCAGCATGAGATAAAAGGTAAAGACAAAAATTCGTTTATTATAAGCAGATCCGTAACGAAATATGTGAAGCAATAAAAATGGAAAAGATTATTTTAATTGGATATAAGACATAATAATTTATCTTGCAAATGAGGACTTTTTCCTTCTTTGGATGTGATATTTTAATGCCATGCCTTGATGGGTCATCTATTTTATAGACAAGTCATCTATTTTATAAACAAGCAACCAATCGTTGTGCAACTCTTGGAAGTTGCTTGCAGTAGTTTTGCTCCAAAAGCTGCCAGGCTGTAAAAGATCAAGAGTAATCTTAAATAACATGAATTTAATTCTTCTCGTAGCATATGCAATGGTTGAACAAAAATAGGTTACGGAGGATTGGAACGCCTGGTGTCTAACAGAGGTAAACAGGAATGTGTTCCACGCCCTTCTCTAACTACAGCAAAAGCTTCCTGAAGCCACATGAGGCTGCACTTGTAAAATGCATGTTTGAAATGGAATGTTTGTTCTTAAAAAAAGCTGTTGTTAGCGCTGATGTGTTTGCTGAACATCGCCACCTATACAACCTCAAAAGTGACTACTGAATTGAATTTCACTCTCCTAAACCCAATCAACACCGAAAAAATATGAAGGGAGCTCCGCAAGCAGGTTTTCTGAGCATGAATGTGAACGTTTACATCTAAAACGGCTACCCCAATCACCCGATATCAACGTTATTGAGCCTTCCTGGCTATTTTGGAGAGAAAGGAGCGCTATCCACCGCCATAATCGTTAACTGAACTTGCCAACGTTCTACAGGAAGAATGGCGCAAGATTCTCTTGTGAAGCATACATTCATTCCGAGAAGACTACAAGCTGTTTGGAATGCCAACGGTTTTTCTACACTGTATTAGT